GGAAGCATAGATAAGACTATAACTTGCTTGTCATGACCTACTACAAACAAGAGAGGTTTGAATGTCTGATAGTTGACCTCCTTTAACTCAATAAGCATGAAGTTTAATTTTTTTTATCAACCTTGGAGTTGTGAAACTATAGACTATAATTCAGAATTGAAGTGTATCTTCATGAAATCTGGCAAGCTTTTAGCAAACATCACGTCTGTTGTACACAAAACATCAGATTTTTTTTAATAAAGCATTTCTACTAAAGATTTATCATTGCTCTCCAAAGCCTTTATGGAGTCAGTCTAAGCGAATGATTTTCATGTAAAGAATGCTTCTTTTCATCTTACAGTTTCATATTTCACTTACATAACCTTTAGAATCTCCTAAATGAATATTCACAGTTTTTCCAGTAAAACTTTATACTTTTACTTTCTCCACCCTAACACTAACTGTTATGAAATCATCAGTGGACAGTGAAAAGTTGAAAAATATGAAATAAAGTGAATAATACCATGTCTTCTATGTACTGACTATAGTTTTGATCAGAAAGGTCCAAGTTAGATATCTTAACAGTTTCAACTGTTAACCTTTTTCACATCTCTGTTAATGTTATGGTCCTATTGCTGTACTTTGCACCCCTAGAGCAGTAACCATGTGTCAAAAGCAATACATGACATTGTTTTCTGTAAAGCATGTGATGTGGTACCATATTTCATACCAGCACTCAAGCTTTTTTAATCATTTGTCTTTATCTTGTATTTAAGAATTTGTTCACATGCATCAAAAAAGTCCAAATACATATAAATCCAGTATAATTGCTTGATCTGTCTACACATTATAAAGTATATCAAAAAGCTTTTATTTGTGAATCTACAATCTTTTTGTCACAAACTAGATTCCAGGCTTTGAGCTATATTTCTCTGCAAAAAACAAGTACATCTTATAAGTAATAAACTGATTAACAAATGAAGTTTTTCTATACATTACTCTCTGTCAGAGCCTCATTTACATTTTATTCTAATTTCAGCCAATTCCTTGGTCACTTGCCTACTGTCTACTGACCTAATAAGCACAAAAAACTTGAATATCCGATATTTGACCTTCTTTAACCCTATACGAACCTGATATTGATAGTTAAAGGTCTCTCTTCCAAAATGACTCAAGTTATTAGGTTTCTTTAATTTTTACTTGTATACTTATTTACCACAAATCCAAGTATCATGAATAAAATAATTCATTAAATATATCTACTTTCAAAATACTGATTAAAACTTATAAAAACAAAAGCAGAGCAAATCCACAATACCTGGTGGAACCAAAAAACAACAATCAATCAATCAATCAAACTATAAGTCAAATTAAAATATTTTAAAGATATATATATATATATTTTCATGATGTTAGAAAACATGTAGATTCAAGAAGTCTTGATAGAAATGAAGAAAAACCCTATAACTTGAATACTTTTGAAAGGTGAACCTTTCTTCTGATTCCCAGTTTGCCCAATATATATATATACAAGTTTCAAGCACATTTATTTTGAAGTAACAATATTATCGTTGCTTTAAAAGAAGGCTTGTTTCACTACTAAGGTATTAAACAACTAAATTTTTAAAAGTAATTTTTGCTTACCAATAGCCTAATTCATATTATAGAAAAGTTCTGTTTTAATAGTTTCATAAGCCTATCATTTTAAATTTTGTTGTAACAGTTGTGTCAAACTGTAAAACTCGTTAACTCATATATATATTTTAATATAACTATAAGTTATAATTGGCCAAAACAAAAAATCGTACAGCCTTACATCCATTTCTCATATCTGACCTAATATTCAAACGGACACTCGGATAAACTTATAAACTATAAGTTTGAACTTTTACTAAATAAAAACCCTTTCAAAATTATGTTTTACTTTTAGGTCTATTAGTATTTTAACTACAAACTACTATTCTAATTACAGACACTGTGAATCTAGCTAATTTAGCACTGGTAGTGAAACTTGGTATTTAAATTTTATATCACAAATACTCATCAATATTTGTAAAGTAATCAGTATTGTAAATTATGAAAAATACGGTTCAACGTAATGATGCCATGTAAAATATATGTTCTACGTACTGTTTTTGACTTTCAGGATGCTCAAAACTTATAGAAGTTTTTAAAATACTCTTCGCAGGCTTCTTCGACAAGTATTCCGCCATCGTTAATTTTTGATGTATTCGTAACCCCATCTCGTGGTGAAATATCATGAATTGTAATAGATGGCGCTATTGGCGCTGTTGTCATGAGTTTGCAGCAGTGTTTGCAACGTATCGTAAGTGTACTGTATAACTGTTAGATGGTAGAGAATATTATCGAAGATTTAGTTTAAACTTTCTCGTAACGTTATAGTCAAAGTACTAATTAGTGAAGTCGTGGTCAAAAGTAATATATATATATATATTACTATCATTATAGTTAATAACAGCGACTAAATCAAAACCGTCAAGATCATGATGATACTGTGATAGTGATACTGATAACGGAGTAAGAATATTCTGTGATAGATTGATTAACTTAATCATTAAGTCTGTGCCTAAAAGCTGCAGTTATGTTAATTATCTGTATTAATAATTATTATTGTATTATACGTTTATATGAGGTATAATACTTATAAAAGTCATTCCTTATTCAAACATTAGAATTTAGAAACGAATAGTTAAAAAACAATATTATGAATAGGCCTACAATTACTGAATTAGTACTAGTTACATAAGTTGCAGTTGTAAAATTCAGCTATAACTAAGTATAAGTATAACTTGTAAAACAACGTTATATTTTCGGGGAGAATTTATCAGTATTTTTATTTGTAGAAGTCAGATAAAACTAAATGAAACATTGTCATTAGTAATTTTTTTTATTACACTTCATTGGGTAGTTAATAATAATAAAACTTCACTGCAGTTTGAGTAGAGCCCAGAAGTAGAAGAATTAAGACAGCACTTGGTGCTGTTTATCCAACGATTATTTCAGTTTGTTTTGAATAATCAATTCTTGAAATTTCATGTTTTAAGTATCTTATGATCAGACAGACGTACATAGAAGTTAGAACTAAAGACTAACAATAGATTATGGTATATATATATATATACTTTACAATTACAGTCTAACATTTAGGTTATTTATAATTTGTCAGTTCCATTGATTTTGAATAAGAGTATATGCTATACACTTACATTATTGACACTACTTGTGTTCAACAATAATACTTAATTCACACTGAAATAGAGAATGTTCTTCCACCATTAATTACCATACTGAAATATAATACACTGCTACAAATTGTTATTAGTTTCACATTGTTTTTCATTTAAATATTTCACAAATTGATTAGTTTAATATTATATATCTAATCTGCTAACACCGGGTATGTCATACACATTCAAAGAATTAGTTTCAAGTATCTCATTAGATCCATACTTTGGTAACTTCCAACATCTCTAAACATGGATTTCAGTATCTTGTATTTATTACCCTAATATCATGGTGTCTACTTCAAACTATTGTTAAGCCCAAATAAAAAATGTTGTGTCTAATACTTCCAGTGAAATACATCCAAGTTGTTAAGCTGTATTTAGCTCACATTTCGTAAACTAGATATTATTTTGATTTTATTTGTCATAAGACATGAGTATTAGGCCTATTACATTTTCAAACACTACATTCATATGGCTTATATAAATAGCACTGTTGTGTTTGTTGTATCCCAGCTAGCCTGAAGAGCTATGGATTGAGAGAAACATGTCATTGGCAATGGATATGACAGATATAGTGTGGTTAGAATACTATTATTCACCCTTCTAAATCTTGAACTTTAAATATTTGCCCCACCCTCTAGCTCAGCTTTGTTCTCCCTTCACATAAGTAATTTTTGCAAGTGATAACAGCAAAAAAAAAATTCTTTACCTGTTTTGAATACATTTTTTTTAAATGAAAGAAATGCTTATAAGGAGTGGGTAAATGGAAGAGCAAAAAAAAAAACTTTTAGAGCAAAGTTGAAGTTTTGTTAGGCTGTGTTTGTTTCCAACTCTTCTGTTTCTTCCATCATTATTTTTGTGCTCTCCCGCCAAAAGGCCACACTCCCACAGCCACCAGTATCTGCCCACCCTTCCGGAGGGTGTGCCTCACAGTTAGGAAAACACTGCCCTAAGGGATAAGATTAATGATGTAGTGTTTAAAAGTGTAATAGGTGTAATACTAATGCCTCATGCCATGTATTGTGATTATTCCTCACCAGCTTGTAAAAGGAGTGCACACCATAACAGTAGGTGTTATTCTAGCAGTTTTTGTTTGCATTCTTTCCTGTATGTTAATATCAGCCTTTTAACTAAGTAAAAAAACAAATTTAAAGCAGGGTTTTATTCACAATCATGCATAAATGTTTATCTATCCACAATTCTTATATTTCTCTCATACAAGAAATTGTTTTCCTAGTTTCTTTACCCAAAATATAGCAGTTTACACTTCTTAAAATTTTAGCACGTATTTGAAGCACTTGTTCACTCATCAAAGCTTTTCATGTTCTTTTGATCTAAAGAAACAATTAGCGTATCTAGGTAATTTGCTGCCCAACTAGGTAGCTAATTAATTGGCATAAATAATAGGTAGTAGAGACTTTAAAACAGACCTTGAGGACTAGTAAATTCATAGTTACATTCCACATTTAAGTCATCGGGTGTAGGTAGTTATGTTGGTCCTGTCATAATGTGTCTAACTGATAGTTATGTGCCGTAACTACAATTTTCCTTTCTGTAATGAAAGCTTCTGTCTTACCCATATAGTTTTTAAATAAGTAAGCTATAAGTTATGGAACATCAAGGGACTTTTTGGCCTTTATTGAATGTCCCCACTTCCAGCTTCTGGGTAAAAATGTTTGAAACATTTCTTGCCCTGTATAAACTTTAGCTTGTGCCTACAACCTCATCACATGAAATATGAATAAAAACCCTATAACCCAAGCCCTTTTGAAAGGTGGACCTTTCTTCTTCAGGGGCAAACTGGGAGTGGTATACAAGCAAATAGTAAATCTAGTGTTTCTTGCTCTTGCCAACATAGAAACTTTTGTGTCAATCCAGCTGTTATAACTAATCCTAAGATTTGAGAACAGAGTAAACGTAAACTTATGCATGTGACTGTATAAAATCCTTTCTAAAGCCAGTCATTCATTTCTGAGCATGAGAATCCTGCTGCTTAAAACTTTTTCCCACATAACATCAAACAAGCACCTACGTTGCATCACTCATCCTTTGCTGCAAGGTCTAGCCGGTGAAATCGTTCGTCTTCATAAACGAAAGGTAACTGGTGTGTCCTGGTTCAACAACAACATTTGAAAAGACTTTGACGATTTTTTTTTTTATGTACGAAATATAATCTTTATTTTCATCCACCAAACTATTCATTTTGTATTTATTTACAAAGAAAAGATAAGATGTATTTATATTTCTGGGTTCGAATGTGAGGAGATGACCTTGATGGGTTTAAGTAATCTTCACATTTTACTTGAAAGGGTCCATTTGACCCGTTTTAGCTATCCCACACTGTAAACTGCACATTGAAACCTCTCTTTCTTGATCTCTGAAATACTCACCTAGTATCCTTTTGCACTTTACAAATGTTGCAGCTTCTACCACACCCAAGAGCAGATTATTTCATAAGTTGACCACCTCGTTATAAAAGTACCCCTGCCTGAACTGGAAACAGTCTAAATGATCTTCTAATAACCTTTAAAACGTCAATCGTGTTCCCCAAAAAACTTGCAAAAGTATGTCAAATAGATATCCAAACTTCAAATTATAATAATAGCTCTTGTCTGTTGGTTCTCCAACAATTTGAGATTTAATGTGATGCTACTATCAGTTATCTTATTCATACTTGCCTCAGAGGCCATAGTACTACTAATGCTACAAAAAGTCATCCATGCAGAACTTAAAAAACAATCAGTAAAATTAGGCCTAATATTTTAATATTTTTCACTGTTAGGCCTTACATGTTCTCTTGGTCAGAGCCATAAGTCTTGCAGAACACATCGAGTCATTATCTTTAGATTGTTTTCGTCTGCCTGTCATTATTGTACCTTTTTGATTTCCTGTCATTCACAAATAAACTTTGTTAGCAATGTGAATAATCTAACCAAAAACCATGCTACTAAAGTGGATTTTTCAAGTTGTGTAAATAATTAAGTCTGAGAAGTATAATTAAAGTAAAAATGATTATAAAAGTTTTGAATGGTGGAATGTAAGGTAAATTGGGAAAAATCCCTTTCCTTTTTTTGTAGAATTATCAACAGGTATTTTATAAAGTAGTTCCCTGATATATTATTATGTATAATGCAATTATAGTAGTATGGAAAAAATTCACTGTTTGATTAATCTGGCCACAATTACTATCTATTCACAGAATTCAAGCAACTGAGAAGTTCTATTTCATACTGAACTGTAAATAGCACATTGTGTTAATTGAGAAGTCAAACTATTTCATACTGAACTGTAAATAGCATGTTGTGTTAACTGAGAAGTTGCACTATTTTTAAATGGACTGCAAATAACAAGTAATCAAGATGACCACTGAAGGGAAAATCAAAGTTCTGTGTGGAAGCTGTCCAGATGGGCAGTGTCAGGCCAAACTGTTCTTTCCATCCTATGATACAAGTATCGAATGCACAAGCTGTGGTCAGCGTCACGAACGCAGATTCTTGAAGAATGTCCAAGAAGTTTCTAACCCGGGTGTTGCCTTACACAATATGATTAAGAACATACTAGTCAGCAACGTGATGCCGAAACGAGGGGCTGAAATGGTAAAAGTATTAGGGTTATCTAACTATCACTGCAAACTGCTGTCACCACTTCTCACGTATTATGGGATGGAGAAAAAGTCAGGAAAAGCGGTGCTTCTACGGGAAATGAACCAAGGGGACATGTTTGACTGCAGTCTGTTGGGAGACAGGGCCTTTCTGCTCGATCCTGAACACATATCAGTGGTGGGGTATGGACGAGATGTTTCAGGAAGCATGAGTTATCTCTCTGGAACTTTAGAACAAATAAAAATGTACAACGATGGAGAAGAAAGACTAATTCCCATTCATGCTGACGGGGACGGCCACTGTCTGGTGCATGCTGTGTCTCGTGCCCTGGTTGGACGAGAACTCTTTTGGCATCCTTTGAGATGCAACTTAAAAACTCACTTTGAACAAAATTTAGATGAATACAAGGTAATTCAATCATAGAGTGACTATTGAGTACTAACTGTATTCTTTATTACTGAGCTCCTTAAACATACTTGTTTAAAACTGTCAAATGTTAGTGTAGGAAACATTTTCATTAGCTTATGTTTTATAATAAATGTACAACTTATAAAGGTTGTGCTTGGACTATTGTGTACATTTATTTTTCATTCTAATGTTATTGATACCTGATTTAAAAATTGACTATTAAACAAGTAGTTTATTAACATCTTATTAAAATGGAAACAAGATCTGTTCATGAGTTTTAAAACATGCCTACGATTTTAGTGTTGATTTGGAAAAAGCTGGTGCTTGAAAACCCTAGTGACAAAATTCACAATAATATTAAATCTAATGCTTTAAATATGATCAGATCAAAGTGTATACCTTAGTGTGGCACAGTGTTTCCAAGATCAACCTACCCAACAATGACGATTAAATCTAATGCTTTAAATATGATCAGATCAAAGTGTATACCTTAGTGTGGCACAGTGTTTCCAAGATCAACCTACCCAACAATGACCGATTAAATCTAATGCTTTAAATATGATCAGATCAAAGTGTATACCTTAGTGTGGCACAGTGTTTCCAAGATCAACCTACCCAACAATGACGATTAAATCTAATGCTTTAAATATGATCAGATCAAGGTGTATAGTATAATGTTTCCAAGATCAACCTACCTATAGAAGTGGGTTGATGTAAAATGTTGATCTGAGCTTTTTAACATTAGTTAAAAATGTAAAAACTCCCCTAAGGAAGTGATTATTAAATAAACTAACCATACAGTATAATTATTCTTCATTTAATTACAAATAAGAAGTATACATTCCTTATCATTAGATTTAACAGGACTTAAAAAAATAATCCAAATATATATGTTTATCATTTCATATCTCTGTTAAAAATTTCAAGAAGAAAGATGTTATAAAAGCAAACGTACACCTTCTCGTCAATATATTTTTAAACAAGTTCTGAGAAGGTGCATTATTTGTGTTGTAGAAAGTCCAAGTGTACCACAGTATAAACATAATAATTCATTTAGACAGAAGGAATTCAATCAGTATGAATGACAAATGGTTAGGAAATACTGTATCTTCACATTTTACATTAATATTACTGCACAACCATTGGTTTGTTAATTTTTAAACTTGAAAGTTTTGCGACTTACTTATAATGTGAATATTCCAATAATAACATTGATGTTTTGTACTTTAGAAACTCTTTCGAGACTTCATTGCTGATCAAGAGTGGAAAGCTATAATAGATGAATGTGATCCCGACTTCATCCCACCTGAAAATGAGCTTTTAGGGTTGAGAAACATACACATTTTTGGGCTAGCAAATGTTTTAAAACGGCCCATCGTCCTTTTGGACTCTCTTGCCGGAATGCAAAGCCTTGGAGACTATGCGGGTACGCTGTTTTCTCTGAGATTTATTTCATAGTTCATCAAAATATTTATAAATACTATTTTGTGGCTTATTTTGTATAAAACATATCATCAGTTAAAGTTCTCTGTTAACTAGTCCAACTATTCAGTTGAACTTCTGGGCTAAAGAAGAATCCCCAGTGACTCAGGTGCAAGATTAGTCATTAAAAGGGGGTGTGAAAACCAAAAGTTTGTTTTATTTCTAATATTGTAATTACTAATTTTTTGTTACATGTATACTTACTTGTAAAATTAATCAATGTTGGGCACTGAAAGTTAAAAGCTTGGCTTTTGAAAATTCCTTTCACTAAACTTTGATATTTCAAAATGAAAGTTTATCTCTTGCAATATCGTATTATTTATCTTTTTCTCTGTGTTACCAGTCAATATTGGTTGTAAAGATAAGTAGACAAAAATAATACAACAGTATATTTTATCAGAAAACCACACATACCTATGTCATCAGAAGCGTGAAGAAATATTTCAAAATAAATAAAAAACATACAATATTAAAAAACACTTTCATAATCTTCGTGTTTCAATTGGCACCAGCCAGGTATTATCAGGATAAAACAATATCTCTCATCCTGCCATTATTATTATTTTTTAAACCAGAACATGTAATATGTTTAACATACTGCAAAGCAGTGGAATCAGTACCAACATAAAGAATATGCACAGGTCTTCCATTAATTATACTCAACCAAGGACATGGAGAGATAAAAAAAAATCTCCAAACACTATTTAAACTTGGTCCATTATCATTATTCATAACACCCTATTTTTTATTTCAACAGATTCATGGATAACACATTGCCCACAAAATGTTTGAGTCGTTCCCATTAAATTGAATGCTCTCTATTAGAAATACATAAAGTAATTTTTCTTTCTTCTTTAACGACCGTGGATAACGAATATTTTGTTTGTTCAATGAAAAAAAAAATTTCTAACATATATTGCATGGGATTTCATAAATATCTCGACTTTTATTTTTATATAAAGCATATTGCCATTATACAGAAAATAACTTATTTTTTAACTGGTTTGGAAGTAACACTAAAATTATGTTTTTTTAAAGTTTAGATAGTTTGCCACTAATTTTTGGATAACACCGTAATATGCCAGTTTTCACCTTTTCTGTGATATGTTTTGGGTTTTCAAATTAGTTTCTGAATTTCTTTAAATTACTCTTATACAAGCTATTTATCAAACATAATTTAAGCTCTCTGTTTAAAACAATATTTTCTAAATATATTAACTCTTTATCTACTCCTCGTCTTAAGCAGAACAAGTATTTACATCCCCCCCAATATCATAGTTTTAAAAACACACATTTTATTTGAGTGATGGTAATTTCATTGAGAATAAGGAGAAAAGTTAATAATTTATGGTTTTCAAAAGACTTTAATTTTTATTTCATCTAAGTTTGTGCATGTTTATTCAAAAATACAATAAAAGAAGTTTTTACTGGGGTAAGTTCTGATTTTAATGATCAGAACAATTCGTGTTGGTTAGGTTAAAACATTGTTTTCAATAAAATCAGAACTTGTCTTCTGTAAAAGTTGCTCTTGTATTTTTGAATTAGATATTTGGTTCCTCGTTAAACATTAATTTGTGTTTGTTAAAAAGGAAAGTAAATTATTTTGTTTTTCTTCGTATGGAAATTGAATTACATGATCACTATTATGAATACGAACACGTGTGTCACGAACGTAACATCAACACGTGTGTCACGAATGTAACATCAACACGTGTGTCATGAACGTAACATCAACACGTGTCACGAACGTAACATCAAAATGTGTGTCATGAATGTAACATCATTGCACAGTGAGGAAAACAGGAGCATTCACAAACATCTTTTTTTGTAAAAAAATCAATAACAATAGCACAAATAAGGGGGATAGTTGTTCCTCATACTTAATCCGCACATTTCGTCTTTGAATTTGAAAATAAGCACTAATCATACATAATTTTACTGACTTTCATTAATGTCATTTTAAGGAACATTTTGATCTATCATTTGTTTTCCATAACTTAAATAAATATTTAATATCAAACAAAAACCATATTATCATTATATAAATTTTTATATTTTAATTTAAAAACAAATTATTAACTGTTTATTTGTTAGATCTAGTAAGATAAGCTAAACAGTTTGATAAATATTTAGATAAGTTATAGATTGGGCTTCCAATAAAGAGACCATAAGATATAAAAACAATTTAGGCAAAGCCTACAATTTAGGAGAATAAAA